TTCATTCATTCATTCATTTATAGGAAGAGTGCACATGCTCACAAGCAGGGGGGAGGGGCAAAGGGAGAGGCAGAGAGAATTTTAAGCAAGTTCCACGCCCACCCCAGCATGGAGCTTCAGGCCCAGCTCAATCTCATGACCCTTAGGTCATGACCCAAGCCAAAATCTAGAGTCAGACACTCAAGACTGGGCCGACTGAGCCACCCAGGCGCCCCACCATGCAATTATTTTTAAAACTGGTGCTCATTCATAAGGTCTAGGGAATCCTGAGGAGCTTTAACTTGACCATGTTGAGATTCATGTAACTTTATGTTGAGAATTCATTTTCCAGAAATACTTTGTTTCAATTAGTCACATTTTTATCTTACACTAAAGTGTAAATTTAATTTAGTGTAAATATCTACCATTTGAAGACTAATACAATCTTTTTCCTTACACAAAAAATAAAAGAACATTTATGTATATGCACATGCACTCATCAAGACTAAAAATTAAATGTAGGTTTAAGTCTTTAGCTAAGAACGAACAATTGGCAAATTCACAAGTTAGAACTTAAAATTCCATTGTGAATATAAATTCACTTACAATTCCATTGTTAGTGTAATTAAGATTGTGAACATGTAAAAAAGGTGATCCTGTCTCAGTTGTAGCTACAGATTGCAAATCTTGGGTCAGTTCAGATTTTTACCAACAGATGCTAATGACTTCACTGAAGGCAGAAAATATTTAGAATGGAAATGGAAGTGCAAACACAGCGCTAGTCATTCAACATGCTCATTGTACTTCCTCAATATGATACTAACAAATATTCAGCTTTTGAGTTGATCAGTGATATATTCAACATATCATGGGAGCATAATTTTTTAAATTATTTGTCCAAAGTTTCTCTCAACCCATCCTAGCAACAGAGCCGAGTGTTAGAGTTATTGCCGCCTGAGTTACAACAGCTGCCCTGGGAATCTTGCCCAAACAGCAAGTTAACTGCTATTCACAGTACTATCTGGTCTTTCCCACCCCCAAACACACACAAAAGATTTTTGTCATTCTTGGCATTAAGCAAGAGAAGTAGCAAGACATGCCAGTAGAACTCCAAAGGCAGAATGTCCTTCCACCTGTTTTGTGCTGTAAGACAGACTTCCAAGCGCGAGGCCGTGTGGAGGCTGCTTCCTTGAATGTCAGCTGAACACACCAGCAGGGTCCTTGGCAGCAGTGCCCAGGCACTGAAGCCGGGCATTCAGGAGAGCAATGGAGGAAAGAAACTTGAGCAAACTGCTTCCTGGAACACTAAGAACCTAAATGAGAAATTAAGAACTACCAGATTCTCTCTGTCCTTACACCAGCCAAGGTCAGATTTCCAAGCTCCTATTTATTCTAATCTTTCCCCCAAAAAAGTGCTATGGCAAGTTATGAAGATAATAAAAAAAATATATTTTTTTCCTTTGAGAAAATGATGTTGCTTACTGCTTTATTACGTTCTTACTTGAGAATTTTTTCCCCATCCTAAAGTAACAACATTGTACTGGGAAAGAGGTTCATATAGGGGGATAAGTGACTTATTCTACATCTCAAAGGACAACTCCTTAGGTAAAAGGCATCAGATATTCCAGTTTGCTTTTTGAACTTCGAGGTATCACATTAAGAGAAAGCACGGGCGAAAGTCTGGCCTCTGCCTGCTTGGCAGACAAAAATCTCACCACCCAGCAGGACACGTAGACAGGGAGAACTTGGAGCAGGAGTAACTCCCACAGTGGAGCACTCATTACCAGGCACGAGGATAAACTGATAGCAAAAGACCTACAAGTCACCCTACAAGTCACAGGCTTGTGTCAATTTTGTGCTGTCTGCCTGGTGCCAAGTGGAATGCTAGTGTCAAACCTAGAAGCTTAGCAATTTCAGAAAGTAATAACCACAGTCCGAGGGGGCAGGGGAGAATTCCTCCAGCTGCTTTCAGCGTTTCAAGAAGCTTAAAAGTAATTGTTTACTCAAAGGCGCAAGGATGACTTTCAGTTTTGGGGGTTGGGGGGGGGATCTTGATTCCTTGATTTCCTTTTGGGAAGATAAATTAATTGTTAGTTAACAAATGTGTCTGTTTGCTTCTGTTCAAAGCAGGGATTCTATGGGAGAAATCACATTAAAAGGGGTTTTCAGTGGGGAAGAGATTAGGAAACACTGTCCTACAGAAAACTGTTTTAGGGATGTAGATTTTCAAGTTGTTTTCATAAACATTTCACAAACAGTGGCTTACTTCCCATTCTGCTTGCATCTAATTCAATCAAAGTACTGAAGCTTTACAGAGCTTGTTGGAGGAGTGGCTGTGGGAAATTCCAAAGCTGCCGCCTCCTGTGGAGACTTCCTTTACTCAGTGTCTCAGATCCCAGACACTCCGATCCAGATCCCACGGTCTTATTTGCCAGGGCTGCAAGGAAATAATAGAAATTCAGTAGAAGTAGACCTTGCTGCCGCCAGGCAGCCTTCTCCTAAAGTTAGGGATTCTTCAAAGTGGTTTTACCAAAGTAGAGGCAGAGCATGCATATGGACTTACACAGATTGAACAAATGTGGGCAACAACATTTCTTATTTGCCCTCCTCTCTTTTCATCAGCAAGAACAAAATCCATTGTCCTCAACTGGCACAAAAGTGTATTTATTCATTAACCCATCAGGCATTGCTCATGTACCCATCATTTGCCAGGCTCTGCGCTAAGTGCCGGGGATATAAAGATGAGTGAGACTCAACAGTGGCCCAAGCAGGATTGTCAAAAACTGACCTCCTTCTGTGTTGCTTGGACCTTGGGACCTTGGGCTCCTCACTTCCCACAGAAGGGATTGCACCCAAACTTCTAAAGAAACCAGTTTCTCCCTTCAGTAGAACCAAAGCCCTCGGGTGCTGGACACCTGGTTTTCCCAGGCAACTCCTATACAGACAGTCTCTAACCCCAGACTGGATGATATCCGAAAAGATTGATTATCTCCACCACCATCTCAGTCATTCTCACTCTTGCCCTATAAAGAGAGCAGCAAGGGAACAAGTTCTCTTCCCTGTAATGTCCACCCATGGTGTGTCCAGCAGAGAATCATGGTCCGTCTCTTCTGTTCTCTTGTTCATTCTTGCTTTGCAGATTACCCCAGTAGAGCCTATGAGATTTCATGGAATTCATCACGAACCTTGTTGCAGGCCAGGTGATGAGCATGAAAGCATCTGTCTTACAGAACAATGCTTCCCAGCTTCTGTAATACTACTCAGCACCATGCTGAAATCACCTGTTCCAGAACAAATCCTGTCCTTTGACACAAAGGATTTAATGTTCAGTTCAGTGGGATCTGGCCAAGGGAGGGAGTTGGGAAACACTTCAGGGGGTCAACACCAACTTCCCAGCAGCGGGGTGGAGAGTTTGTGCCCTGGAATTCCAGGGTTTCTTCTGTAACTGGTCAGCTCCTGTGGACAGTGCCTGCATTAAGCCTCCCACAACCATTGATCACATACATGTTTGTTTCATGCGTTCATTAGTTTAGTCACATAATCAGAGCTGCCACATAATCAAGGGCCTTGAAAAAGCATAGTGCTCTATCCAAGAAATATTATTTGGATATCAAAGCTATATTTACCATAGATGATCAGTTTCATTTTTTTGTTGTTTGCTTTTAAACTAAGAACTTATTCCCCAGATGAAGGCTTATAATGAAGCTCAGAATATAAAGTACATGTATGTGGACCTGCTTCAACTGGAGTGAGGCAGAGGGGTAGGACGTCAAGGATCCCAAGGAACACTGTTTGAAAAGCACTTGAGAAATACCAAAATGGTAAAAGAGTTCATAATTTTCTTGGAAAAAAAACCCCAATAGTTATGTAGCTTGACTATGATGGCAAATACACAAACCTACATGTGGGATGAAACTGCATAGAACTAAATAGGCTCATACACAAACAAGGACATGTAAAATTCATGAAATCTGAAGATCAGTGGATTGTATCAATGTCAATTTTCTGGTTGGGATATTGTGTTATAACTCCGTACAATGTTGCAACTGGGGAAAACTGACAGAAGGGTATACCAGGTCTCCCTGTTTTAGTTTTTCCTACTGCATGTGGCTCTCCAATTATCTTTAAAAATTTTATCATAATTAAATAAGTCCATGGCATGAATTTCTCATCCTGTCCTTTTTCTCCTTCTGAAATCATAGAACAGTTAAACAAAAACTAACCTGTGACCACCAGCTGAGATTCTTTGGTGTTCATATTGATGGATGTAGGCAGGTGTATCAGGAAGCCTTCAGCTATAAGTAATAGATAATGCCGGGACACCTGGGTGGCTCAGTGGGTTAAAGCCTGTGCTGTCAGCTCAGGCCTGCTTCCTCCTCTCTCTCTGCCTGCTTCTCTGTGATCTCCGTCTGTCAAATAAATAAATAAAATCTTAAAAAAAAAAATTCCTAAGTAACAGATAATGCTGACCCAACTGACTTAAGCAATAAGGAAAATGTGGTGTGTTATATAATAAGTCTAGAGTAGGGTAGTCCCATGGTCACTTGGATTCAGTAGCTCGCCATCATCAGTCAAGGACACATATTCTTTCCATCTCTCTACCCTACCATCTGCCACATGTTAATTTTGTCCTTAGATGAGCTTCATTAGCAAATAGCTCCTATCATACCAAACCATATCATTTTCTTAAGTTTCATGTTAAGAGTAAGGAAACATTTGTGGATCTTTCTACCACTCGCTTCACCCACTTATTTCTATTGACCAGGATCAAGTCACAAGCACTTCCCTGCATGAATCACTGGCCAGGGGGATAATTTTACCTAGATGTAGTCCCTGGTGGTGGGAGATGTTTACATCTTAAAAAAAAAAAAAAAAAAATAGGCACTCTACCAATGAGTAAGAACCAGGGGTGGATGGGTGATAGATAGGCAACCCGTTACCACAGAGCCACAACGATGTGGGGTGAGTTATTTTAGAAGATTCCAGGCATTTTTCAATAGAACAACCATTGAATCTCCTAGAAAATTTTGAGGCAAGCTCAGAAAGTGATGAAGATGAAGCAGGCACCTTCCAGCACCCAGAACAACTGGAAGGAACATACTTTTACAGTCAATTCCTTATTCCACACCAAGGAGAATGATGAGTCCAGCTTCCCATGCAAGCCTGGGGAACTCAGAACCGGGAGGAGAGCAAGGGAAAGAGGCTGCCATAGTAGAAACCCAGAGAATGAACCTCCTCCCAGGAGTTGGCAAGGCTGTCCTTGTTAAAGAGCCTGTTCTGGTTTAAAGGTGAGCAATTTTTTTGCTTTGTTTTGTTTAGCGTGGGTGAGGGTTGAGTTAAAGTAAGATAATGTATAAGGATTATTTTATAAAAATAAAACCATTTTAAAAGAGGAAATGCAACAGCTGCCTTTCAGATGATTGATTTCCTGGTCATTATTTATTTCCTTTTTTATTTCCCCCAAATTTCTGACCAACAAGCATAGCACCTAATGCAGTATTTGTCGTTGAGTCCTTGCTTAATTGTTGTGTAAGATAAGACTCCTTGAAACTGGAGGCAGAGTTTGAGGGACATGAAGACCAACCAGAGACAAGAATAGACTCTTACCTCTGGAGTTGGTGCCAGGAGACACCGGGAGGGAACAAGGAGTCAGTGTGTATACTTGAAGATATGCCCATATTTGGTGTGGTTGGAAGGGTACAAAATATGGGGCAAATGACTTTTACTGCCTCCCCCACTGCAATGTCAACCTCCAGGAGGCAGAGACTCAGACATCTTCCCCAGTGCCTTTCTGTATGCCGAATGCCTATCCCATAATACATGTAAATATTTATTTAATTAGTCAAAATTTTCCTTGTGTACTATCAAATTATAAAAGACCAGAAGGGTATATTCTTTCTGGACCATGGCCTCAAGAAGAAAGGAAGGAAGCTAAAGATAGCTGTTTCAGTCATTGTCACTCATACCCTCTACATTTGTGGTCCTCTATCAGGACATCCACTTGCACCCAGTCCTGGAGCAGGAGATGGTGGGCAAGATGGACTCGCCTAGCTCAGGAAGAACTTACCTTCTCCAACCAGGCTTTTGAGTAAGGAGTGGGGGTGGGGGACTAGTACTTACAGGGTCTAAATCTTAGCGCTGGAATTAGAATTTAGTGCTATGTCAGCAGATCTGGAGAGCCTGGCATCCTGCAGGCCAAAGGCCGTTCTCCCCAAGTTCCGGGCTGTGTGAGCTGAATAGTGAGCTCATCTAAACTTTGAAAGGATGGGAAAGACTGTTGTTCCTCTCCCCCTGCAGGAACTTTACAAATGACCTTGTCAAGCAGCCCCTCAAAATCTACAGAACCAAATTTTTCAGAATCCTCTTTATCCCTCTGCTTCTATTTTCTTTTTCTTCCTTTTTTTTTCCTTCTACCTTTCTTTTCTCTCTTTCCCTTCCTCTGTTTATTCTTGTCACTCCCTGTTTCTCTCCCATTTCCCCAACTCTTCCTCCTCCTCCCCAGTAAAAGGGATAATTTGGAACTGAAAGTATATGTCACGATTTATTGAAAGCAATTGTCTTTTTCATAGGATTCTCGGACCTTTCATAGAAAATGATTCTTCTACGGGGCGCCTGGGTGGCTCACGGGGTTAAAGCCTCTGCTTTCGGCTCGGGTCATGATCCCAGTATCCTAGAATCAGCCCCACAGACTCCCTGCTCAGCGGGAAGCCTGCTTCCTCCTCTCTCTCTGCCTGCCTCTCTGCCTACTTATGATCTCTGTCTGTCAAATAAATAAATTTTTAAAAAAAAGAAGAAGAAGAAAGAAAATGATTCTTCTATCCCAAGGTGACTTTCAAAATAATTCCCTGGAGACTAAAGAATTATATGTAAATTTAGTACATTAAAAGGGAAAAAAAATTAAATACTAACATTTAAGCATTCTGGCCTCTATTATTTTAAAATTATAAGTTTGACTTCATGCCATTCATATTAGAATTCCTGAAACTACAACCATCATCTATGGCTTGCAGGCTTCTTTTATCTACACAGACATTTCCTGTCCCATTTTCTCTTTTGCCAGAGACCCATAACGACTTACATATTGTTGATTTCAGGTTCTATGTGGGAGGGCAAGGAAGCCATTTTATTTTTTATTTATTTTTTTTTTTTAAATAAGATTTTTATTTATTTATTTATTTATTTGACAGATCATAAGTAGGCAGAGAGGCAGGCAGAGAGAGAGGAGGAAGCAGGCTCCCTGCTGAGCAGAGAGCCCGATGCAGGACTCGATCCCCAGGACCCTGAGATCATGACCTGAGCCGAAGGCAAAGGCTTTAACCCACTGAGCCACCCAGGCGCCCGAGAGAAGCCATTTTAGACAAACGTTTGAGGCGAGGTGGAGGACAGCATGACATGTCAGCCCTCACATAAGCTGGCATGTTTACTCTTGCCTACCCAGGGCACTTGGGAATAAAAATATCTTCCTGCTTGATTAATTTAAAATTAGTTTCTTGAATATGTTTTCCAGAACTCAGTGTGCCCACACACAATTGTGTATGCAACATTGGTGCACAGCATCATAAGTTCTCAAAACCCAAGTCCCTAGATCTGGGGTCAACAAGGCCCACTAACCCTCCTACAGAGCCTCCCACGTGCTGCGCACCATGCAAATCTCTTCTCACATATCAGTTCATCTCATCCTTCGACAGCCATACAAGGGAGGTGTCTTAGTCGCCTCCAATGGCCATCACAGAATACCATGAACTGCTTAAGCAATAGACATTTATTTTCTCACAGTTGTAGAGATTAGAAGCCCAGCGATGAAGGGGCCAGCAGCAGGGTTGGTATCTGGAAAGAGCTCCCGTGTTGGGTGGCAGATGGGACTCCCTTCTTGCTGGCTACTTACGTGGCCTTTCCCCATGCTCCTGTGGAGGGAGAAAGTGAGCAAGCACTCTGGTGTCTCTTCTTATAAGGATACCAGTCTTACTGGATCAACCCCCCCACCCCCTTTAGGACCTCACTTAACCTTCATTACTGCTCAAGAGGCCTTGTGCCTAAATACTGCCACACTGGAGATTAGGACTTCAACATGAATTTGGGGAGAACACATTCAATCCATGACAGCACGTAATGTTGTTCTCATTTTTCAGGACAGGACGCAGAGATCTAGGCAGATCGAAGAGTTTGCCCAACATCACAGAGCTAGTAAATGGCAACAATGGGATCTGAACTCCAGCATTATGCTCTTCAGCACCCTCCTGTGTGTGTCTCTTCAGCCGGTAGGAGTCCTAGTATCCCATCTAACAGCCCCAATCCCTGGCAGACAACGTACACCAGTCCTAATATTATCAGATTGTTGCTGTGCCTTTTTTAAATTGCTTTTCCTGCAGGGACACAATCTCTCACTATTACTATTATTATTTTATTAGAGATACATTTTTATATTATCAAATTTAATTTTTTTTAAGATTTTATTTATTTATTTGACAGACAGAGATCACAAGTAGGCAGAGAGGCAGGCAGAGAGAGAGGAGGAAGCAGGCTCCCTGCTGAGCAGAGAGCCCCATGTGGGGCTCTATCCCAGGACTCTGAGATCATGACCTGAGCCGAAGGCAGAGGCTTTAACCCACTGAGCCACCCAGGCACCCCTATATTATCAAATTTAGAGAAAAAATGTATAGTTACTACTCTTTTTTTTTTTAAGATTTTATTTATTTATTTGACAGAGAGAGACAGATAGCAAGAGAGGAAACACAAGCAGTAGGAGTGGGAGAGGGAGAAGCAGGCTTCCCACTGAGCAGGGAGCCCAATGCCAGGCTTGATCCCAGGACCCTAGGATCATGACCAAAGGAAGACATTTAATGACTGAGCCACCCAGGTGCCCCTATAGTTACTACTATTAAAATTCCTACACATCTTAGTTAATCATCTAGTGAAAACTTCTCTAAATGTCTGTAGTCTGTGTTTATATTCTAATGATTCTAAGTACAACCAGTAGTGATATTTTAAAGGCTCTATTATTTTTTTGAGGACATAAAACTTTTCAATCCAAATTTCTACTCAGAAAACTGGGGCATTGTAATTTGGTGAGGCGGCTCATAGAATTCTTACCAGTCAATGAAGAAAATATTTATACCAACTTACAGACTGCATGATGTTCAGATCAAATATGTCCTAAATGGAATGTGATGACCGGATTGGCAATAATTCTAGGATTTTCAGTGGAAGTATTCGGGGGTAGGGAAGGTGGAGAGGAATGATGCATTCGATAAGAGCAAAGATTCTGGAATCTGGTCATCTGGGTCTGAAATCCTAACTCTGCTGTGTCCTGGAGCAAGTCACTGACAACTCCTTATTAGTAAAATGAAGCCAGTGGTAGCTTTTATGTTATGTAAGGATGAGTGAGAGAATTCTTAAGTGTAAATTAAATAGTGCCTGGCTCACTAAAAATTAAAATTTTTCCTGCTTTATAGAAACATAATTGATATATACCATTATATAAGTTTAAAGTATACAATGTAATGATAGATATAGATATAGATATAGATATAAATGTGTATATGATTACCACAAGGTTAGTTAACATATCCCTGACATAGTTACAATTTTGTATGTGAGAACTTTAAAAATCTAACTTCTTAGCGATTATCAAATATCCAATACAGTATTGTTAACTATAGTCACCATGCTATACAATACATTCCTAGAACTTATTCATCTTAAAACTGGAATTTTATACCCTATGACCACTTTCTTCCATTTCCCCTATCCCCCAACCCCCCATCCCTGGCAACCGCCAATCAAGTCTCTGTTTCTGCATCTGTTTTTTAGACTCCACATATAAGTGAGCTTGTGCAGTATCTGTCTTTCTCTGTCTGACTTATTTCACGTTGCATAATGCCCTCAAAAACTGAATCTTTTAAAATTGTAAACTTCTAAAGAGTACATTTTATATTTCTAAAAAATTTTCTAAAAATCCCCAACAGGAAGGGACGCAATGAGTGTTAAATGAAAGAACAGCAAATGTCTTGAGAGGTCAGTGTCCCACCATGGCCCATTCTCAGTATTATTAGTTTCACCAGGAAACAGGGGGAGCTCTGTCTTGATGTGAAACAGGGCCTCATACAGGCAAGAGCATTGCTAGACCACAGGCCTTGCTCTTAAACCACAGCTCCACATCCCAGCCTGACGTGAGACTGGGGCGAGCTCTTGCTTCATTCCCAGGATCAACAGGTTCTCACCTTTGCAGTTCTTGTGATTTTTTTTATACAAATGTGCATGTATGTTCAGTTTTTCTTAGTGGTGACAT